ATAATTAAGAACATTTGATAAAGAATATCTGTAGCAATGCTATGTTAACACGTTTAGAATTTACAGTTTATTTGAACACTAAATCTTTATCTTTATGTCTGCCAAGTTGTAACTTTTCGGTGTAATTAACAACATTTGATAAAGAATGTCCGTAGCAATGCTATGTTCAACGCGTTTAGAACTTACAGGTAATTTAAACACTAAATCTTTATCTTTATGTCTGCCGAGTTGTCCTAGGATATGAAATCATGAACCTATGAGGACTTTAACATTCAATATCAAGTTTGGTCTTTACGTTCTTATACACTGGCGATGAATTTTAATAACTTTTAGGCGTCACTAAGATTATTTTTTTAAATCACAAGAAATGTACGTTGAGTCCACCGGACTTACAACACTAAACGCCAAGTTCAGTTCTCCTCGGTTGACCAAACGCAGATAGCCTATTGCGTAGGTTTGCACAAAACCAAAACAAACAAAGATAGATTAAATGATCATTGGTCGTTCAAACCATTCTTATTACATCACAACATGCTTTTAGTGACTTTCCCAAATGAGTCATTTCTGTACAGGTCAGGATCATACAGTGACAGAATTTAACATACCTTGGTATGAGCGAATATATGTATATAGTTTAATTTTATCAGTACTTCTGAACTTACCCATAATGCAATGAAGCGTATAAATATTTTAGCTTTGCCTTTTTCTTGATTTTGTTGATATTTAGTGAAAAATGGCTACTTCACGAAAATGTCTTAGAAAGTTGATTACTAGCTAGTTATTCTACATTCAAGGCACTTAGATCAACATTTTATTTATAAATATATATGGAAATGATTTATTTTCATGTAAAAAATGTAACATGTTTTATATGTACAGTCGAACTTAAATTTTATATTCCTTACATGATACGAACTTAAATATAAAATAAGTAGGTGTACCAGACTTTGTAAATTACAACATTTTAAATACATCCAATATAGTAAGGCTTTCATTTTCCATCCCATCTTTACGTTTTCTCAGTCTTATTAGTCAAAGTAATGTGAAAATAGTAATAAAAATGTTTCGTCTGAGACCGAACATGACGTTTCCTCTGCTACAGTGAAACGTAAAAGAAAATCGCAGAGAAACTCGGATATTTCTTTAATAACACATGATTGCTTAGATCTTGGTCTACAGATGAGTTGATGCAAATCGGTAATGAAGGCCGGAAAAGCTTTTAGTCCGAAAATCAAAAAATATAATATCCATACTATCTAGAGAGTTGAAGTTTCTGTGTTTGTTTTTATTTATATTATCATTAGCTTCTTCTAATTTTGTTTAATGTATAATAAAAATACTTGTATATTGCCTCCCTTGCGTTTGGTATTCAAAGGTTTGCGCCTCAGTTGCCTTATTCTCTATTCTGTATGCATCGTTCCGTGCACTTTATTACATAGGGCAAAAGTAGGGCTTGCAACAATAAACGTGACGTGTGTACACGAGCCAATGATAAAGCCATTTTGAATTTAAGCGGCTTAGTTCAGGAACACCAATATGAGATTTAATATCATCCTCCGCTATGGGTAATATAAATTTCTAAGTAAATATATGGGTGCTAAACTTAATAATCCATTGCAGGTTACTTGTAACGCACGATAAAATATTAAAACAACAACAACTAAGAAGCGATTTATTTAATTATATTAATGACAGAATAACACAAATTATCCCATATTACCCCATCGTATGTTATTTGTATAAAACGGTATAATTAAAAAACAACAACTAAGAAGCGATTTATTTAATTATATTAATGACAGAATAACACAAATTGTCCCATATACCCCATCGTATGTTATTTGTTTCAAACGGTATAATTAAAAAACAACAACTAAGAAATAATATTTGTATTATATTAATGACACTGAAAAACCCATATGTGATAAATTTAAATAGTTTATTATATTAATGGCACGAATAATCCCATATATGTGTATATAAACATTTAAATAACTCGCTATATTAATGACACGAATAATTCTACATATGACTAAATAAGTACTTAAATAATTTATTATATTAAGAACATGAATAATTCCATATATGACTAAATAGATATTCAAATAATTTAATTAATTTTAGGCTCTTTACAAACTTGTTACAACGCTGCAAATATAATGCCTTTTTCATGTTTAATGATTTTTTTCTGATTTTCTCGTTCACGAAAGCGGTTCCATTCTTGTGCTTGAGAGTCCGAATGTAGTTTGTGTGAACCACATTTTGTTGTTGTTGTATCATTGTTCTTAATTTGTTGGTTAAGATTTGTTAGATTTTATTAATAAATAATTTGTTATTGTGAAAGTATAAACATATTGAGAGTAACCACTGGCAAGAGAACCTGCGAATAGTATTCCTGATTTTTTTTTATTTGTATTTGGATAGTATATACAATCTACGATTGGTGTGGCTATTCATGTAAGTAATCAAGAATCTGGTCATGTAAGTAATTAAGGTTCTGGTTATATAAGTAATCAAAATTCTGGTCATGTAAGTAATTAAAATTCTGGTCATGTAGGTAATTAAAATTCTGGTCATGTAAGTAATTAAAATTCTGGTCATGCAAGTAATTAAAATTCTGGTCATGTAAGTAATTAAAATTCTGGTCATGTAGGTAATTAAGATTCTGGTCATGTAAGTAATTAAAATTCTGGTCATGTAAGTAATTAAGATTCTGGTCATGTAAGTAATTAAGATTCTGGTCATGTAAGTAATTAAGATTCTGGTCATGTAAGTAATTCAAATTCTGGTCATGTAAGTAATTAAGATTCTGGTCATGTAAGTAATTAAGATTCTGGTCATGTAAGTAATTAAGATTCTGGTCATGTAAGTAATTAAAATTCTGGTCATGCAAGTAATTAAAATTCTGGTCATGTAAGTAATTAAGATTCTGGTCATGTAAGTAATTAAGATTCTGGTCATGTAAGTAATT